ACATTGACATGACGTACCACCTGGTGAGAGAACTGCAAAAAAAAAAAAGACATAATCAAGCTAACTTACTGCCCAACAAAAGAGATGATTGCAGATGCTCTTAAAAAGCCACTTCTTAATGCTTTGAGGCTCTAAGGGTGCGTTCAGACGGTGTGCTGAGAGCGGTTTAAACTGGTCCGGTTCTGACGCAATTATTTTTACTCTGGACAATTGCGATCACACGGGAGTGTGTGTCGGTGTGTGTGTGTTTTTCCCCCTCAGTTTGTGCATGCGCATAACTGTTCATCCAACAAACCAACAGCTGCCAATGTCGTCACCATGTGTGTTTTTGTCCTCGTTACTGTGAAGGCTTCAAAGTGCCGTGTGTGCATATAGGATCTTGCCCCCTCATTAACTATACCCCCCCCTTGGTATATTTAATTCTAAACTGGGCCATGGAGTGTGGCATTAAGGCTGAGCTGCCGGGGCTCCCCAAATTAACCAAGCTGCCCCTGGGTTTGGTCCCAGAAACTCTTTGAGTCACACACACACACACACACACACACACACAAGCAAAATAGAGCTTTATTGAAAAAACTAAAGAAAAATGTTTAAAAACAAAGCATATAGTTCAGTGGCAGTCAATGCACGGATAAAACATCCAACTATGGCTAATTATGACGTCCAATTATGGCCTCCCTTGCAGAAAAGCCACCCAACTACATCTGCCAACGTGAGTGTAGGTGTCACTAGTTTGTGGCGACTCCAGTTTACCATTTATCCAGCTGCTGGGCTCAGGGCCGGCCCGTCATAGACAATTTTTAGCCAGTGGCCTAGAGTGGCCCCTTAAGAGGGAGTGCCCCCTGGCCTGCTGCCCCACCTTCACCTAAACAGAGAGATGCTCTCCCCCCGGGCATTACCCTGTGGCAGAGGCCGGCTCTAACCCTTCCTGGATCGCCCTGCAAGCCATTCTGCACCGCACCGCGGGGTAAGTCAGCCCAAACCTCTCCGGGGCCAAAGCACGGCCACGATCCTGCCCTCCTCCAGCCAGCAATTGGGGGCCACCAGCGCGCACCCCCTTTCATCCGCCCTTTGCCTCCTTGGCCCCCCTTTCCCTGATTAGCAAACCAAGCGTCACGGAACTTTTAAGCTTCCTCCTGCCACCGCTGCTGCAAGAAGCGCTCCTCGGTGCCTGTTTACTCGGAAGGAGTGAGCCCCACTGACGTCAATGGGACTGGCTCCAAAGGTGAAGCAGCATGCCCGGAATAGTGCAGCAGGTTGGATTTTTATTTGGGGTGGTGGTCGAAGTTTGCAGCCTGCCTTGGAGTGGGGGCCAGGGACCCTGGTGAGCCACACTCTCTGGAGCAGAAAAGAGTCTGGGAAGGACCCCCTACCGGCAAAGCAAGGCGGAGGCTGGGAGTTTGCAACACTCTGCAAGGAACTGCAATTGCCGCCACCGGGCATGCAAAGACGCGTGCGCGGGGGGGGGTCCCATGGCCACTAGCGGGGGCGCTTTGCAATCGCACGGGTGCACTGGGGGGGTGCGCCAGAAGGTGGCCTCACCTAGTGTGCAAAAAAACCTGGAGCTGGCCTTGGGCCATCAAGCAAATACATGTCGCCATCTTTTAATTGTAATCTTAATTGTTCTTAAGTAATTCCTGTAATAATTTGTTTTTTATGTTTTATCACTTTGACATTATGCTTGTGGGAAGGGCGGGATACATATTAAAGAAATAAAAGAAATGCATAAATAAACCGAGAAGGCTAACTAGCTACCTTTTATTATTTATTTATTTAGACTTTTAGACCGCCCTTCCCTGCAGGGTCCTGGGGTCCTAATACAACACAGATAGTTCTGGAAGTGAAGAGCCCTTGAGCATCATACAGGTGTCTTCTTGGCAGCACGGAAAGGGTAAGGCGAAGGATAGCCCTTCTTCTCACTAATTACTTTCATAGAATACTGCAGGCCAAAACTCCTGTCCTCCTCAACCAATCACTGGACACTGTCCATGGAGTCTTCCAGGTGAGAGCGAATCCGCCCTCCCATACCAGATCCAAGTGAACCTGATTAACAGGCCGGGATTGTCCACCTTTCCAAATGTCTACTAGTGTGGGGGAGGCTGGCACCTGCAATAAACCAAGGAACTGTGTAGAACAGTGGAGTTAATTCAGCTTCAGCTGCAGCAGACTAGAAGATTCCCTCAAGATGGTCTCTGTCTTGACATGTGGATTTTAAAAAAACTCACCATGGGGCAAAGGGCAGGTAGTGGGAGAAAATATTATTTAAAAAAAACACCATGGTGATTAGAAAAATCCCAAACTCACAGGAAGTGACATCTACATCTTTAAGAAAAGCAGACCACTGAGATCACATGAGACGACATTGTGAGGTCTTGGTGGCCATTTTGGGGGTTGCCGGACAACCAGCGAGCAACAGTGGTGGGGATTTGTGTCACTGTATGAACAAGGGAATAAGACAGATGGGATCCGCCAAAGACAGGAGAGAGGGAAGGTAAAACTAGAGGGAGGAAAGAGCAGAAAAGATTAAAAGGGACAACTGAAGATGGGGGGAGGACAGAAAACAGTGGGCGAGTGGGCACAGAAGCGGCCACGGGGGAAAACAGGACAAGGCAAGGAGGCGGGTTGGGTGGGTGAGAGAGAAGGAAAGGGATGAGGCTGCAGGCACTGGCAGGGAGGCAGAGAGAGAGAAAGGAATCGTGAGACTCCCCCTACAAGCCCTGGCAGATCCCCCACTTAAAGTCTGCATAAAACCGACACATGTGGAGATATGGAGTTTTCTGTGACCCTGTCAGTGTCCTTCTCTTCCTCCCACAAGATCTTCATTATTTATTTATTTTTCAGATTTTTACCCCGCCCTCGCGGCCAGAGCCGGCTCAAGGCGGCTTACATAAAAGCAGATTGGTCACTATGGGGAGGCACTTCATTTTTGTTTTGGGCTTCGAGGCTGTAGTCTCTCAGTGCCTGCCGGAGTGGCATTCCCTCCTAACAGAAAGCAACAGAGGCTGGTTGCTGAAGCTGTTACGAGTCAGAATGACACAGGAGGTGCCTCGCTGCATCAGACCAGGGGTCCATCTAGCCCAGCTCCCTGACTCCCACAGTGTCCAACCAGCTGCCCCGGAGGGGCAACGAACAGGGCTCAGAGGCCTCCCCCGGTAGGTGTTGCATCCCCGCACCAGGGAACACAAGAAACTGTCTCATACCAAGTCAGACCATTGGTTTATCAAGGTCAGGACTGTCTACTCTAAGTAACAGTGGCTCCAGGGTGCCTGGCACAGGTCTTTCACATCACCGGCTTCCTGATCTTTTCCCCTGTGGATGCCAGGGACTGAACCCGGGACGTGCACGCACAGCAGACCCACGACCACTGAGCTGTGGCTTCATGTGAATGTGGCTTCATGTTCACAGATGAAGTCACAGTTTTATTACGCAGGATGAAGCGAAGAACTGCTTCCTGTTGCTGAGCAGCATCCCTGCCCTCTTGTTGACTGACTTCTGCCCCTGATCTTTTGCCCACCAGCTTCCGCCTTGAGCTGGCTACAGGAAAGGGCAGAGGAGGGCGCTGAAGGCAGGATAGAGCAGTCTACTCACCAAGCCTCACCCCAAAAGAGTGAGTCCTTCCTCTCTCCCCCCCCCTTTTGTTTGCTTTGTTCTGAGGCTGGTCCAGACTGGTGGTGGAAAGTGCCCTCAAGTCACAGCCGATTTAGAGACGTTCAGAGGTGGTTTAGCTATTCTTGCCTGGCTCCTTAGAGGTCTCCCATCCAAGAAGTTGCTACTGTCAAACCTGCTTAGCTTCTGAGATCTGAGAGCCATCCGCCTGGGCTATCCAGGTCAGGGAAGGTCCAGACTCCTTGGCAGGCTGAAGATCTGGCCAAGTAGTGATCATTCCAGGTGTGGCCTGGTTCGTCTGGAGCAACAAACTAAAACTGAAGTCCAGGGATATCTGAAAGACTAACAAAACGTATTCCAGAATCAGGTCTCCTGAGTAGGAGGCTGGCTTTATCCAGTGCCCTGGGGGCCTGAATTCACGATGCAGATCTGTCCCTATCACAAGCCGTCCTTGTAATAGAGGAATACTTCAGTTTATCTGATGGAATGAGTTCTGCCTCAGGGAGCCAGCGTGGTGTAGTGGTTAAGAACAGCGGACCCTAGTTTGGAAACCTGGGTTCAGTTCTGCCCTCCTCTGGCCCGTAGCTATGGTGGGGCGACTGGGGGCTCTGCCCCCTCCCTTAAAGGGCCAGCCCCCTTCCTTAAAGGCCCTCGCTACTTCCCAAAAGCATTTAAAGGTATCCTTTAAATGTTTTTGAGAAGAAGTGGGGGTGGGGTGCATGCACTGTCCCTCCCCTCCTGCAAGATTTAAAGGGCCCTCCAAGCCGATCAGCGGGCCACATGCTCCCCGTAGATCGCTGAAGGGCCCTTTAAATCTCGCAGAAGGGTAGGGAGAGGGACACATTCCACCCCCCTTCATTATGGCCCCACAAACTCCAGTAGAAATTTTTTTGCCCCACAAGCAGCAAAATCCTGGCTACGGGCCTGGCCCTCCTCCACATGGCGCCACCTGGGTGACCTTGGGTCAGTCACAGCTCTTCCAGAGCTCTCTCAGTCCCCAAATAAATCCAGCTCGCCGCCACTAAAAAGAGCTCGAACTTACAGTTTGGGATAATCTTAGGATATGTTGTCGAAGGCCAAGAGCACGGCCAATCTACAACAACTAATTATTTTTATTATTTTTATTTAGTTGTGCCTCAGTCAACTCTCATCGGGGAACACTCTTCGTTAGGCGTTTAACTCTTGCTTTTTTGATTTTGGGAGGGGCAGGCCGGGGAAAGGACCGGCGCTAGGACCCCGCGGCCCCGGCCGAGGCAGCTGTCCGGGGAGTGTCTGGCAACCAGGAACTGGCGGGTTGCCTCGCCAGGGCGGTCTGCCGGTCTTGTTGCTAAAGCGCCCGCGGACGGGGCGGCGGGACCGGCGGGCGTCTTGCGGCTGAACCGGCTTTTCAGGGCGCCGCCTGGCGATTTGGCAATGGGTCTGGTTGGAAGGCCTGGATGATCCCGGGAGAGAGCCACATCTGACTGGGAGGGAGGATGCGGTGAAGGCGGCGGAGCCACGTGGGCAGCAGGCGGCTCCCCCCCCCCCCCGAAGAAAGAAGTCGAGACGGCGAGCCTACCTCGCAGGGAGAGGAAGATGGACGTGGAGGTCGCCGCCAGCCAGGCCGAGGAGAAGGGCGACCCGAGCCCGCCCGGCGGCTTCCAGGTCTACAAGAGGCGCTGGCTGGTGCTGGGCGTCGTCTGCCTGCTCAATTGCTCCAATGCCACGGTAGGTGAGGACGCGCGGGGGATGGTTTCCCTCCCAGCCTCCCTGACCTCGCCAGGGTGGCGCGGCCGGCCGGTTGTCGCTTCTGCTGCTGCCCCCTTCCATTCCGCCTCCGGGATAGCCCTCGACCCCTTGAAGCCCACGGGCTTGCGCGGGAGTCACTCTGCATAGGATCGCGCGCGGAAACCGATTTCTTTCCCTTTTGGTCCCGCGCCGTGCGAGTTGCTGGGAAGGAAAAGAAAGCAGAAGTCCGGCGGCCTCTTGAAGAAGGAAGCCGCGAGACGCCCGAAAGGACAACAGGCCTTCTGGTGGACTTACTCGTAGGCTGCAGCCTCAGGGCACCATCCGAAGCACCTGAATGGGCAGCGCAGCCCTTTGCCGAGCCAGTGCGGCGTAGTGGGCAGAGGAGCCCAGAGTCTCAGATTCAGATCCCCCACCGTGCCATAAAGTTCACTGCGTGACCTTGATCCATCCCCCCCCCTCAGCCTAATCTACCCCACAGGGTTGTTGTGAAGATAAAACGGAGGTGATGGTGCAGTAGTGCGAGTGTCCAACTCCAATACAAGAACTTAGGCAGATCAAGAGAAGGGAGGGCAAGGAAAGGTTGCATCAGTACTTAGTTCTCCTGACCCTTTCTTACACCGCCAGGGAACTGCTAGTCTCCACTTTGGGGTCAAGAAGCAATTTTCTCCAGGCCAGTTTGGCCAGGGATCCTGGAGGGTTGTGGGGTTGCCATCTTCTGGGCATGGAGCAGGGGGTCACTGGGGGTGTGAGGGAGAAGTATTTGTGAATGTCCTGCTTTGTGCAGAGGGTTGGACTAGATGACCCTGGAGGTCCCTTCCAAGTCTGTGATTCTAAGGGGTGTCAGGTTCAAGCCCTGCACTGTGCCATAAAGCTCACTGAGTGATCTTAATCCATCCCTTTTTGTCTCAGACTAATCTGTTGTGAAGATAAAACAGAGGAGATGGTGCCATAGAGTGTCTGATGCAGGGGGTGTCAGGTTCAAATCCTACACTGCGCCACAAAGCTCACTGGGCAACCATGGTCCATTCTGTCACTTTCAGCCCTACGCACCTCACAAGGTTGTTGTGGGGATAAAATAAAGGGAGACCCACGTAGGCCGAACCTGAGCTCGAGAGGAAGGGTAGGATAAAAATGAAAATTTTAAAGTAACAGGCCAGTCAGTTCAACCAGATTCACTCCCAGGTAGCCACTGAGTTGTAGCTTCAGTCTGAGACCAGGCTCAGCTCTTGGGATCTAGCTTCAGTGGGCATGCATCAGGGTCCTCTGAACAGGTGCAGAGTGCTTCTTCCTGATTGTGTCCCAATATAGGGGACACAGTTCAAAGACGAGCCCCCCCTTCTGTTTGCAAATTAACCCTATTTGCTTTTTTTAAAAGAAGCACAGATTTAAAAGAAAAGAAACAGCTTATTCTTTAGTTCTGATTTATGTGTAGAGCGCGGTTAATAGCCAAGCACATTAACAGAAAATCTGAGGCTGTTTACATGTGTGTGTGGCATTTTTTTAAAAAAGCAATGTACTTTTCACAGCCTGGGTGGGGCGCAGGCAGGGAGAAAAGGGGGAAAGAAATGAAATCAGCAGATAGAGGCGCTCAATCAGCCTTTTAAAAAGTGAGTAATTTCCAGTAGTAAAGGAGAAGTACGTTGGCCAAGGGGGTCAGGTGATGTTCGAAGGGAGCATTTTCCCCTTGACAGAAGGCAAAAAAAGCCTGCCGTGCGGCAATTGAGGCTGCTCGAAGCGGGATTTGATGGAAGAGCATAAAACTATGCACGATGGAAACTTTTCTTCTGCTCTCAAGGTATGAGGAAGGGGAAGACTGGCAGTTAAGTTGATTGGCAGAAGTCAGAAGCTGCATCGTCAGCGAATGAATAGCCCTAAACCCCAAGAGGGAGCAGAAAAGGGAGGGGTATACAAAATGAAGCCCCCAAGTCAGGGAAGCTGTGAAATATACACACTCCAAACCAGATCCGAGCAGCAGGTGTATCCAGTTCAAATCCCTACTGAGCCCTGATCTGGTGCTAATCACTTTCTCCCCCCCCCCCCCCAAAGGCATTAAGTCGACTTCAAGGCGCTGCAAGGCTCTGTACAAACCAATCAATCCAGCCTCTCTTCTGGCATTGACACGGCAGAGCTTAGAAGGGCTTGGGAGTGGTGAGTGCCCTCCAGAAAATATTTATTCCGTCCAGGTGTTTCTTTATGTTGTTCATCTTGCTGGGGTGATTCATTCCCAGTACCTGGCGATTGGAAGTGGGTCACGTTATCTTGGCAAGCCATAAATGCTCAACATGATAAAAGTGACGCACAATGACGTCTTCTTGGTTCTGCCTTTATGGCTGCTGTGTCATGCGTCACAGCAGCTGTCTGGCAAACTTTCTGACTTGCCACTATGGATATTGAAGAAGAGAGAATCCAACAAGAAAGAAGCAAAAGGAAAGGGGATGAACGTAGCAGACAAAAATTACTTTGGTCTGGAACGGGTTAATGATCTTGGCTCCAGCTGTCTTGCAGCTGTCCCCCCCCCCAATTCTTAACCTTGCAACTGGGACAAAAATGCTACCACATTTCCTCTTATATCTCTACAATGAAAAGGGCTAAAGCATTTTTTTTTAAATGAAAGCTGGGAATGTAGAAAGGGAGCATGGCATACTTCTGAGGGGGACATTACAACAGGCCGGTGTGCAGCAGTGGACTAGGCCCCCCAGAAATTTATGCCAGAACATATTTGTTGATCTTTAAGGTGTCATAAGTCTGTTTTTGATTTTTGCTTCTCTGGTGTAAATTAGATGCCTGTTGGGGTACAGATAACTTTTACTGTCTTTTTGCTTTGTCTCCCACCCCTTCATAAAGCTCCCTAGACATTGAGGAGGTAGGGATGGACAAACCAACTTGAGCTGAGTTCTTACACTCCCAAGGGTAGCCTTCCTGTCTCTACTGACCAGCAGGAGTGAGGAGAATGTTGCCGACTCTTAGATACCCAGGGACTGGGGCAAGCTGGATGTTCAGCTTACTGTGGAAGTTCCCAGCAGGCCATTGCCTCTGAAGATCTGTTGGGCCTGGAGAAAGCCAAACAATGGGTCTATGGAATAGAATGTTCCATTCTATTCGGGCATTGCTCTCTTCCGTCAGCCCACCATTGTGACTCATTCATCCACAAGGTCTTCAAAAGAGCACAGCCAGATGATTGTTTTTACAAACAGGAAGAGAACATGCAGATTAATATTATTAAGAAGGAATGAATCTTAGAGCCACATCTTGTATATCGAAGAGGTGCAAAAAGTAGGGTGAGCTTTATAAAAAACGGGGACAAGCCGAGCAATGCATGATCAGTGGTTTCAGGAACACTGCAAGATATGCACACATGCATGTCATTCCCATTCAGCAGATACTGGTATGTGCGCGGATGCCTCATTCTTTAGTTGTGGTTCGTGGGTGTCCCAGTCTGGAGCTAAGTCAATATTTCTGCCTGCATTTGACAGTTACTGGAGCACCAGAGGTCAGAGTTCATGGGGTGGGGGAAAAACACCCATTGCCATTTTTTTAAATAATATTTTTTAAAATTTACACACAGAGAACAAATACCAACAACAAAACATAGCATTAACAAAGCCCATTGCCATTTTGGAAGTATAAAAAGAAACCAAGGAATCATTCCAGTTGCCCAAGATAGGCATATTTCTTTTTGGACGAAATGGTTAGCAGCTGTGTCAGTCCCAGAGAAGGAAACACCAAGACGTCACAACACTATCCATGTAACAACTTTGATTAGGACCAACCAGTGACACCTAACTCTGCAAGTTTTCACATTCAGCAGCACTCTTCTCAGGCTGGGTGTTACAGATAAACAGTTTTTTTAAATTGTAACATCAAGCCTAATGAAGAGCTCTGTTGAGTTTGAACGCTTGCACAGTGCTAGGTATCATTTGGTTGGTTGTTATCAAAGGTATATTTTCATTTAAAAAAAAAACATTTTTAGAAGCAGATTCTAGAAATCTTTGCCAAACAACTAGTCATGTTTCATTCAGGTCAAAAACAGTGTGCTGTTTTCCTTCTCTCTACCGTACCCAGTTATTAAACTGATCCCTATCACCCAACAAATTCTATTCATTATCCAAAACATTCTATTTGTTATCCTTATCCTCTCTTGCCCTCCTTATATATAGCCGAACTGCTCAGTTTGGCAATTAAATAGCTAATTAATCTCTCTCTTGCTTGTTGTGTGTGTGTGTTCATTGCAACACAGAGAACAACAATTATGTTCCCATGCTAGAGAAGCAATTCCAGGTTAAAGTTTAAGTCCAGTGGCACCTCTAAGACCAACAAAGTTTAATTCAAGGTCTAAGCTTTCCTATGCAAGCACACCTTTAGATACAGAGGACACAATCTCTTCTTGAAGAGGGACTGTGGTCTCTACTCTCGACTCCTGTGCATAGCTTGCTGAAACTAGGATCCTACTTTGTAACTTTTACATCATTTAATGTGTCATGTTAATACTTGCGCTTTGCTTCACTCATGTTTTCAGACTTCTGGTTGGTTCTACAGCCCTAGTCTTATTGTACTGTTTATTGAATTTCCCATCCTTTTGATTGACTCACTCTGTGCAATTCACCTTGAGACCAAGTGAGAAAGGCGGACTATAGATAATTTAAGTAATTAAATAGACTACTGACTCGATAGACTGTCCACTAACCAATCATTTATAACCGCTTTAGATTCCCTATAAATATAGAGATTGTCCTCTAAATATAGTAAAACCCTCCCAAAGAACCATTCTTATGGTAACTGTGAAACATCTCCACTGCTTTGCAGACCCTGGCCTCCTCGTATGACCCTGAAAATCAGTTCTGCAAGTAAAATCACCCTCATTTTGGCCACATAGCTTTATCAAGATCATCTTCCTAAAACTTTACCCCTTTCCATACAGAACATTATGTACAGATGCTATATAAACTTTGCACAGGCTCTTAGGTTGTTTCTCCACAGGA